TCTACTCCATGTAGAGACAATGTGTTATAACACACACCACATATGTCTTAAGTCAACCTCAGTGGTGTCAGGGTCGGAGGAAAGTCGGGCTATTGAAATGAGAGACCACTATGGTTCGTACCAGTCACACTGGAGGTTCCAGCGACTATATATACCCCAACTGGTGTCATGTGTGTCAACTTTCTAGTAAAGATACCAATATATACAGACAAGTTAATGTTGTTATGACATTATGAAGCAAAGTTGGTCGGAATTTAACAAGGGGTCAACTGACTTAAGGTCAAGGTCACCGGGTCAATGTCAAAGTCAAATATTGGAACTTTTTACTGATGCACATTTTATTATGTTATTATGAAGCAAAGTTGTTCAGAACCTAACACGGAATCAACTGATCTAAGGTCCAGGTTACTGAGTCCAAAAGTTCAAGGTCAATGTCAAGTTTTGTAAGGTCATTTGGGTCCAAAGGTCAAAGTGGATCTCTGACTTTGACCCTGGCTCCTGATGGAGGATGTATTTTAGGTGAAATAAAACAAATCAAAACTAACAAATGAGTATTGCACCGGTATTTACGTTTCTGTTAGCCCAGCAAATATGGAGGTGGAAGGAAACAAGACTCACATTATAGTACATGTAAAATGTATATTTTGCTTCCTTGCGATTCTTTTTGAAGTCCATATGTCAAACATCAAGCTCAGCTATATGGGCAGATTGCTTCTTGATGATTATGGAGGATATATTGCCACAATACGGGGCCCTTACTGACCTGTCAGTGTTCTAGTTACAGAGTTACCAACGCTAAATCGTTAGTTACTTCAGCAATAAACTATACAAGCCGTAAACTTGAGTTTGCATATGAAATTTATACAAATAGGTTCGATTTAATTATGAAACTTTGAACACATTCAAATATATTTTTATTTTGTTCAAAAGATAAAATGTTGTCACTGAACAGTAGAACTTCAGCGGAAAGCTGATATTTGAAAGATACAAAAGTTACTTGTCTAGCGTGTTCATAAATCGACAAAGTAGTAGATAGTGTTCACTTGTTTCGATTCCTCACGACAAGAACAGAGTGTTTGTGAACAAGGTGGTCATTTAGTGAACTCCATTTCACGTAGCTTGGCTTGGTGATCGAATTACCACAATAAAAGATATGATTGTTCTTGAGATGTATTTCAAGTATGTTGTTCCTTCTGAGTTATGAGATTGACTCGTCTTCTCTTATATCTTCAGGGAGAGTTTTCCACAGATTGAGAGTAGCAGACAAGAACGAATTGTTAAACATATTTGTTCTACAACGTTGAGGTCGGAATTTATATTCGTCTGTAGTGGGGTGTTTTTGTATTTTTGAATGTCGAGCTGGCAGAATGTAACTTAACTGCTGCCTTGTTAGCCCACCATCATTAGATGGTGGGCTTTTCAAATCACCCTGCGTCCGTGGTCCGTCCATCATTCCGTCCGTCCTTAAACAATTCTTGTTTGCGCTATTTCTCAGAAAGTATTAGAGGGATCTTTCTCAAATCTCACATGAAGATTCTAATTGATCCTTTGTTATGCATATCGTATTTTGGGAACTTTCATTCTCAAATTCAAGATGGCTGTCTGTTGGCCATCTTGGTTTTGCGAATGAAAGTTTGTTAGTTTAGGAGAAATATTTCTCAAATTTCACATATAAGTTCCCCTCATCCCTTGTTATGCTTATCCTTTTGTGGGACTGATCACAAAACTAAGATGGCTGACAGGCATCAATCTTGATTTTGAGTTTGTTAGCTCTGTTCCTCAGAAAGTACTAGAGGGATCGTTCTCAAATTTCACATGAAGGTTCCCCTTGATCTCTAGTTATGCATATCGCTTATGGGACTAATCGCAAAACCACGTAGGCCGACAGAAAGCCATCTTGAATTTGAGAGTTAAAGTTTGCTAGTGCTATATCCCAGACCTTATTGGAGGGATCTTTCTCAAATTTCACATGAAAGTTTCCCATGATTTCTAGTTATGTATATCAATTGTTAAAATAAATTAAAAAAGGATAGTACATTTATTTCTATTTTTAAAATCAATTAAAAAAAGGAAAAGATATGAATGTCTATTTTTAAAATCAATTAAAAAAAGGAAAGTATATTGATGTCTATTTTTAAAATCAATTAAAAAAAGGAAAGTATATGTATGTCTAGACAATTCTCATTGGTATTACAATGATCACTCGTATAGGCAACACTACATTGGTATTACAACTAGAACACTGACAGGTCAGTAAGGGCCCGTCTTGTGGCAATATATCCCCCATAATCATCAAGAAGCAATCTGCCCATATAGCTGAGCTTAACGTTTGACATTTTGACTTCAAAAAGAATCACAAGGAAGCAAATTATACATTTTACATGTACTATGATATGAGTATTTTTTCCTTCCACCTCCATATTCTTGGGCAATAAGAAATGCAAATACTAGTCGATACACATTTGTTAGCTTTGATTTGTTTTATTTCACCTTAAATAATTCTCCATCAAGAGCCAGGTTCAAAGTCAGAGATCCACTTTGTCTTTGACCTTTGAACCCAAATGACCTTGACCTTTAACCCAGTGACCCTGATCTTTGGTCAGTTGACTTATTCTTTAATTCCGACTAACTTTGCTTCATAATATAATAACGAAATGTTCGTCATTGAAAAAAACAAAACTTGACCTTAAAACTTTGGACCCCGTAACCTGGACCTTAGGTCAGTTGACTCCGTGTTAAGTTCTGAACAACTTTGCTTCATAATAACATAATAAAAATGTTCATCAGTAAAAATATACAATATTTGACCTTGACATTGACCCTGTGAACTTGACCTTAAGTTTTGACTTTGAACTTTGACCCAGTGGCATTGACCTTTGGTCAAATGACTCCTTGTTTAATTCCGACCAACATTGCTTCAAAGTGTCAAAACGAAATGTTCACCAGTGAAAAAGATACTAAATTTGACATCGACCTTTGACCCATTGACCTTGACCTTAAGTCAGTTGACTCTTTGTTAAGTTCCGACCAAGTTTGGATCATAATGTCATAACAAATGTTCATCAGGGAAAATATGCAACCTTGACCTTTGACCAAGTGACCTTGACATTTGGTCAATTGACTCCTTGTTTTATTTTGACCAAAATTACTTTATAATGTCATAACAAAATGTTCATCAGGAAAAAGATACAAATTTAACCTTCACCTTTGACCAAGTGACCTTGACCTTTGGTCAATTGACTCCATGTTTAAATTCTGAACAACATTGCTTCAAAGGATCATAACGAAATGTTCACCTGTGAAAAGAAACAAAATATAACCTTCACCTTTGACCCAATGACCTTGACCTTTGGTCAGTTGACTCCTTGTTTAATTCTGACCAACATTGCTTCATAGTGTCATATCAAAATGGTCATTAGTGAAAAAGCTACAAAAAATGACCTTGACCTTTGACCCAGTGATCTTGACCTCTGCCACGATGACCTTGACCTTTGGTCAGTTGATTCCTTGTTTAATTCTGATCAACTTTGCTTGATTATGTCATTTATGGGCGGATTGGTTGAGTGGTTAACACTTCGGCCTTCCACGCAGACGGCCGGGGTTTGATCCCCGAAGTTGTCGCACGCATGGAATATCAGAGAAAGTGTTTTTCTCCTGCCCACACAACTCCAACAAACCAGGTGGAGTATAAAATGGTCTAGGGTGGATGTTGCGGTATCTGTGATGTAGCATTCGAGTGAGGTCGCACTATAAAAGATACCGTTGGAAGCACTGTCCAACTACAAACAGAACACAATACATCTCCAGCACACACGCAGGCATACAATGTACACACATAGGGAGATATTAGCCAGGTGGCATAGGACTAGTAGTTAGCGCCTGATAAGGCAGCTCCTGCGAATTCCTCAAAAATTGTAATTGTATTAATTGTATATCTATGTACTGTAAAGCACTTTAGAGTGGCTTATGTTAGCTAGATAGGCACTATATCAAATGTTGTATATTATTATTATTATTATGCAAATTTTGACCTTGACCTTTGAACCTTATGACCTTCACCTTTGACCTCGACTTTTTACCTCAGTGTGTCTCTTTGTTTAGTTCCGACCAACTTTGCTTCATAATGTCATAAAATGCTCATTAGTGAAAAGCTACAAAATTTGACAGTGACCTTTGTCCTTGACCTTTGACCAGATGACCTTGACCTTTGGTCAGTTGACTCCTTGTTTAATTATGATCAACTTTGCTTCATAATGTCATAACAAAATGTTCATCAGTGAAAAGATGCAAAATTGACCTGGACCTTTAAACCTAATGACCTTGACCTTTGACATCGACTTTTAATCTCAGTGTGTATTTTTGTTAACTGAACATTTTGACCACGTTTCATGTAAATCGGTTAATAAATAAGTTATCAGCAAGGAACAACATTTTTGGACGGACAGACAGACAAACGGACGGACGGACGGACAGACAGACAGAGTGATTACTATAGGGAACCCGTATCTCCGACACGGGGCCTTAATTATGACAGGGAGATTTTGTGGTTATGGAATGTAAGATACTTTAAAGCTTGAGATTATTTTTTTGTCGAAGATTCTTGATAAATGACAAAATATTGATGATGTAGTGTTTCTTCAGAGCATTAGCTCATGTACATATACCTAAACATAACTACCAAATAACACCTCCTTTTAAAAGTTTGTTCAACTTCATGTCTTTCTTTGACTTTCAAGGTCACATGGGTCAAACGTGTTTAAATCTTTGAACAGTTTCCTTTTGAAAGATTTTGAGTCAAAACACTGATATTTTGCCTCTAGCTATATTTTAGTCAACATTTAAGGCTACAAGAGTGAGATTATTTCCAGATGAGCGCTACAGGCCCATTGGGCCTCTTGTTTGTTTAAAATCTGGGGAAAACATTAATAATGCTTGTTTTTGTAATATAATGCATGGAATGTTCCCAATTATTGTCATCAGATTTGTTGCACTTTATATTTCAGGTTTGTACCGAAACATCGGAAACGGCTTCCAAATTTCCAACAATGGCTTTAGATATCCACAACGAATTGGTGCGTTATCTTGGAACACAGATTGTGGGGACCGAATTTTCTGAACTTAGGGATCTATTCAGACATATGCCATTAACCCCAGTCGACATTGCTTCGATTAAAACCATCTCTAACCTATTCGTCTGTCTTCAGAAATACGAAACGATAAATGTGGGAGACTACACACTATTTGTAGCGCAACTTAAACGTACACATCCAAACCTGGTGAGAAAAGTGAAAGATGCAGAAAAGGAAATAAAAAGCATTGTTAATGAAGGTGAATCAAACTTACATATTGCTACATATCTATAGATATCATTTGGATTTGGATTTATTGAAGTGTAACTGGTTTTGTGGGTTAATTTTAAAATTAATTACGGTACACCTCCGGTCTGATCGAACAAATTTAACTAAATATTGTCAAACCTGTTCGAATTACACAAAATTATAGCCGCTAAAATATAGTAATTACAACTATCCGATTCGACATCGGCAAAAATCACGGCAAAGTCAAGTCGTTAATACGGAACAGCGACGGCCTATAACGATATATTTGCAAATCTGGAGATGAATAGTGGTAATTATATCTTTCTTATCCTTATTTACATATTTATAATCTATTGTCAAGCTCAATCACAAAGCAGAGACATGTATGTAAGGGTTTAAATTTCAATCATGATAATAGTATATAAACTTCCCATATCCTTTGAAGTTGTGGAAAACTTGCAAATCTAGAGCGACCACTAACTACATATATGTTGGTGTTATATTTCATGATATGAAATCTAGTTTTATAAACAAAGACTTTGACAAGTGTCTTAAAACTTGATATGGGGTATCTATTAACTCAAACATACAAGCTTGGAGATCATTAAACATCAACCAGGGTGTGACTCAAATCTGGTACATGTACTATATATACTGGAGGGTAGACATATGAAGTGACAGATGAAACCCGTAAGGGCGGATTCATGTAGGCGCGAAACCCGTCATCCATCCATCCATCCATCCATATGAAGTGAAATTTGTTCATCAAACGAAGCAAAGGGTTGAAAATGCCAATTCTACTAGTCGGCATTCTAACCGATTGGTCAGCTGGTTTACAATGATTGACCATGTCCAGTAGGATTGTGTTCATTTTCTTTGACATAAGGAAGTTAAAATTTCAATCGCCTGTCGTTCGTGGCCCGTGGTCCGACCTTCAACAATTCTTGTTATGGCTATTTCTCAGAAAAGACTGAAGAGATCTTTTTCAAATTTGGTATGTGAGTTTCCTTTGGTCTTTAGTTATGCACTACTTTTGAGACTGATCGGAAAAAAACAAAATCTTTTATCTTTATTTTCTCATGAAGCACTGTGAGTATCTTTCTCAAAGGTGATATAAGGCGGCCATCTTCGATTTTGACAATAATGGTTTGTTATCGTTATTTCTCAGAAAATTGTAGAGGGATCTTTCTCAAATTTAATATGTAGGTTCCCCATGGTCCCTCGTCGTGCATGTTTTGAGACTGATCGGATAAACAAAATGGTGTAAAGGTGGCCATTTTGAGTTTTGACAGTGAAGGTTTGTTATCGCTATTTCTCAGTAAGAAATGGAAGGATCGTCCCTGGTAGTGCATGTTTACTTTTGAGATTGATTGGATAAACAAAATGGCCGAAAGGCAGCCATCTTGAATTTTGAAAAGTTTGTTATCGCTTTTTTTCTAAAAAACCACATGTAAGATAGTTATAAAATTTTATATGAATAGTCCTCTTGGTCTATAAATGTGCATGTATCATTTTGAAACTGATTGAAAAAAAACTGGATTTTGACATTTCACTTTTTCCAGGAAGTACTTTACAGACCCTTTTGATATATCAATAATCGGTTCTATTTCTTTCATATCAAGTACTGTACTAGTAAATATGTGAAACGACAACTCGCTTTGAAGGTTGTCTTTTATACACAGCAGTATGAAGTTTAGATCGAAAGCTACCTCAATGGGCATTTACTATGTTCATGACTCGATCAAACAGTTAAGAGAAAATGACATAGAACTAATGAAGATGGTAGGATGATGGGCGCCAAGATCTCTCTGGGATCTCTTGTTTACTGATAAACAGTTTTTCGGCTTTTAGTTGATTATTTACAAACAATTTCCTAGACGAAATAAACAAATTGTCGAAATCCTTATTCAAAAGATCGGCACTGATTGCAGGTGCATCAACAATAACACTTACTGAGTTATCGTCCGCAAACAACTAAAATATGGCATTTATTTCGATAACTATATCGAATGTGTACACTAAAAATAATAATGGCCCTAGTATAGAACCTTGTAGGACGCCAGGTTTAATATTTTCTCAAGATGAGTATTCCTTATTAATTACAACTCGTTGTTAGCGATTAGTTTGTAGTCCACGAAAGTTGGTTCGTGTGTAAGGGTGGGGAAGAGTTTTGGCAAAAACATTGACTAGTAAAAAATATTGAATAAACAGTACTACTACGGTTCCAGACTCGGCCAAAGGCTTTGCTTACGTCGCAATCTAATCTAATTTCTTTACCATCATCTATCTAATGCATCAATTGTGCATCACCGATACGTCCTGTAACTGGGACAAAACAGCTGTATGGTGAACTGTAACTCAGTTTGTGGATTACTGTATCTATGAACACATTTTATATGTGTAATCCCATTTGTGTGTCCTACGTTTATAGTTATAATTCCCAGATAATTTACTCAGTAGTGCAATCACTTACTCCATTCATTCTGTACTAATAAACAGCCATACAGGTCAATATTTTTCAGATTTGGAGATCAAAGGCTGACACTTTTGCATACAATGCTCAGACAACAGTACGTGTAGTTCCCTTAAATATGTCCTTTAGAGTTGACGTTGATGGCAGTGCTATGTAACTGTGAGATGTAAATACATACTAATGTCGAGGTCGATAAAGAAGTCATTTTCTTTGGAAATTCACATCTTATCGTAAACTTCTTTTATGCAAATGTGTTAGACATTTGCAGAAATTATCAATTCAAGGACAAAATCATAAATCAAAATATTTTTAATAAATTGATAGTTTCTATTTTTCTATTTTTCTATTTATTGGACAAAGCGTTCATAAGTTGTGATACTTTTGTCTTTTCACTAGTTTTACGTTTGAAAATACGTATGTGTAGTCTAAACTTGGCTGGAACGCTTGCAAGAAAGCTGTTAATAATATATGCTGATCAGATGAATGTTTTCATGCATTTAGTCAGATAACACCACTTACAATCCAGTTTTAACGAATGTGTACAGAACAACTTTCTCGGAGCGAGTTGCTTTACACGTTACCTTTGCATCGCCAAAGACGACTGCATTACATAATTAAAGCAAATTCAAACCGCTATGCAAATATAAACACGAACTTAAATAATTGTATTTATGTTGGAGATAGTGCTTACCTATATCATTAATGCTTTATATAAGCCAATTACTGGTAAACTGTCTACCCAATGTTAACACATATACACGTACCATCACTGCTATAAATCAACCAATTACTGGCAAACTGTCTCCAATGTTTATACCTATATCAGTAATGCTATATATAAGCCAATTACTGTTATATACACAAATTGCTGTTAAACTGTCTCTACCCAGTTTAAACACCAATATCTTTAATGCTATATATAATCATATTACTGGTAAACTGTCTCTTCCCAATGTTAACACCTATATCATGACTGCTATATATCAACAAATTACTGGTAAACTGTCTCCAATGTTTACACCTATATCATCACTGCTATATATCAACAAATTACTGGTAAACTGTTTCTACCCAATGTTTAAACGTATATCATCACTGCTATCAATAAACCAATTACTGTTAAACTGTTTCTACCCATTGTTAACACATATATCATCATTGTATAACTGCTATAAATCAACCAATTACTGGTAAACGGTCTCCAATGTTTACACCTATATCATCACTGCTATATATCAACAAATTACTGGTAAACTGTTGCTACCCAATGTTAACACATATATCATCATTGCATCACTGCTATAAATCAATCAGTTACTGGTAAACTGTCTTCAATGTTTATACTTATATCATCAATGCTATATATCAACCAATTACTGTTAAACTGTTTCTACCCATTGTTAACACATATACCATCATTGTATAACTGCTATAAATCAACCAATTACTGGTAAACTGTCTCCATTGTTTATACCTATATCAGTAAAGCTTTAAACGTATATACCTTATGCTATTTATCAACCAATTATGTAAGCCAATTTCTGAGACACTGTCTCTTCCCAATGTTTAAACGTATATCATCACTGCTATCAATAAACCAATTACTGGTAAACTGTCTCCAATGTTTAAACGTATATACCTTATGCTATTTATCAACCAATTACTGGTAAGCTGTCTCTTACCAATGTTTACACCTATATCATCACTGATATGAATCGGCCAGTTACTGGTAAACTGTCTCCAATTTATACACCTTTATCATTAATGCAATAGATAAACCAATAACTGTTAAACTGTCTCTACCCAATGTTAACACCTATATCATCAATGCTATATATAAACTAATTACTGGTTAACTGTCTCCAATGTTTATACCTATATTCCTTATGCTATATATAAACCAATTACTGGTAAACTGTCTCTTCCCTATGTTCACACGTATATCAACACTGCTATTAATCAACCAATTACTGGTATACTGTCTCCAATGTTTATACCTATATCAGTAAAGCTATATATAAGCCAATTACTGGTAAATTGTCTCTTTCGAATGTCAACACCTATATCATCACTGATATGAATCGGCCAATTACTGGTAAACTGTCTCCAATGTTTATACCTATATCAGTAAAGCTATATATAAGCCAATTACTGGTAAATTGTCTCTTTCCAATGTTTACACCTATATCATCACTGATATGAATCGGCCAGTTACTGGTAAACTGTCTCCAATGTATACACCTTTATCATTAATGCTATAGATAAACCAATTACTGGAAAACTGTCTCCAATATTTTCACGTATATCATCAATGCTATAAATTAACCAATTACTGGTAAACTGTTTTCAATGTTTATACCTGTACTATCAATGCTATATATCAACCAATTACTGTTAAACTGTCTCTACCAAATGTTAACACATATACCATCATTGCATCACTGCTATAAATCCACCAATTACTGGAAATCTGTCTCCAATATTTTCACCTATATCATCAATGCTATATATCAACCAATTACTGTTAAACTGTCTCT